GAAGTTGTTTTGTTGGAAATGATAACTCAAACAGATCAAGGAATTTATTGTAAAACAGTGAGAAGGCTTCTTGACAGTCTGCTTCTTCATCTAATAATTTGTTCCAATCTACAAGCAACTCACCTTGTCTGAAATTTTGGATATTATCGGTACTGAATATTCTACCCGTTGTAATAAAGTAATCACTTTTCTGGTTAATATTAAAAGATAATAGCTGATATGTATGATCCGATATTTCTGTGTCAATTACCTGTGCCGAGTAGTTTGCAACATTAGTAAAGATATTGTCAATGCACGTTTTACTGAATTTTGTAATACGCGTAGGGACGTTAAATGTTTCTTTTAGATTATACTCATTAAATAAATTGAGCAGCATTTTCTTGTTTGAGCGAGAAGAAAGGAGATCCACATTCATATCACCACATATCAGATAAGAATAATTAAAAAAAAAATATTATTCATGAAATCATTTAATTTGTTCATGAAAAGATTAAAATCAGAATTAGGTGATCTATATATTGCACATATTATGGTTTTTCCTATATGAGGTACTTTAACTTCTGTACAACATACTTCAAAAAGTTTTTCAGTACATACTTTGCTAAAATCAAGTTTTCGAAATGTTAGATCTTTTTTTGCGAGTATACATACACCACCATGGTTGAATTCTTTTCGACAATATGAGTTTATTATCCTGTAGTTACCAAAGCTTAGGTTCTCCATTCCTGTTTTGCACCATGTTTCAGATATACATAGAATATCCACATCATGTTTATCGAGTAGTATTTCCAGCCTGGGAATTTTTCCTGTTAGTCCCTGTATATTGATATTCATCACGGTGAAGAAGTTTTGCTCCTGAGGGCTGAGATTTGGTGATAGTTTTGCACAAGATCTCTGCCTCCCTATAGGATTTTTACTTATAAAAAAGTAGCTGGACGATTTGTGTTGTCCTCAGTAAGATTTTCTTCATTGCAAGATTTATCATTCAGAAGGTGTCGCCCTAGGTTGAAGTTGAATCTATTGAACAATATTTTTTTCGGTGGTGACCATAAGATCTTAGTCTTACGACCCAGATAAGTGCATAGTGCAGGTGCTGAAATGGTAATAACAAAGGAAATACCAGAAGAAAAAAATCAAATCCGCAGTAAACTCAACTCTTAGTAAGTTATTGATACATTCATAAAAATTATGGCAGAAACGGTAGCAAGAAGAAGATTAAACTTCCTCTTGAAGATGATCACTTGGTGATTGAAACACGTGTCGAGGTGTTAAAACTAATGGTTTGGTGTTGAGATGAAATTCTTTCCTACTTCGAGGTTCACACCAGCCGTGTGCAATCGTGACATGGCCATTAACGCAACCTCCTTAATTTATTACTGTAATCTTATTCGAAACAAAAAAATATATTCCTTCATAAGGGAGGGTGAGTGTAGGCTCACAACATTTAGGCCACATGTGACCCATTGTATATCCTTCTGAAGAGTTATCCTCCTAGGTCATCGTCCATCCTCTTCTTTTCAGGAAGGTGGACAGGTCACTAGGAGACATCTTTTTATCGGCAGGTGTAGGCCACACTCTCTTATTGACGATAACTCCGGACACTCGCATAGGACATGCCTGACAATTTCATCTTCCTGTTCACACATCCTGCATAGAGGTGTGTCCACGAGCCCCATATTATGGAGGTGTTTCCTTAGTTGACAGTGGCCAGTCAGAAATCCTACTGTTAAGCGTAGGTTTTTCTTGGTCATCGCCAGATATTTTTTCGGCGCCAGCTTTCTAGGTTTGCCCAGGGTGATCCTGGCAAGACTGCATCCTTTGATTCCATCCCATCTCTTTAGGGATCGAGCATCGGTATGACGTTTTTTAAATCGACAATCGACATAATTTTGTTTATCTTTGATGAAACTCGAAGTAAAATGCATTTGAAATAAATATTACCTTTGATAGTACATATTATAGCAAATTTCCCCCAAGAATATGATGTTTAATTATGCTTAGAATATTTGTGTTCGGCCCATCGACTATGACACCAGTAAGCTATTGTGAGACAGACTTGATACGCGCGCAACCAAATTATGATGGATTACGTTATGATACTTTACGGATTCTATACATTACGGTTATGATGGAATACGGATTCTGTACAATGCAGTTTCTACGCTTTAGCGATATGATACATTGAGTTTATGATACAATGTGGATATGATTCATTGCGATTATGATCGGTTGACGTTTTTATAAGTACGTTATGATTTTGTACTTTATGACGAAGTACGTTCTGATGTTTTACGTTATGATGAATTGCGATTATGACGGTTTACGATTATGATCTTGTAGCGTTATGATGCATTGCGATTTCTCTCCTTTGATGTTATGATGGAGTACATTATGATGAATTGCATGGACCATTCATTGGGTATACTACGCCAGCAAGGACGCAAAGACACAAAAACGAAAAGAAGAAGATATTTTTCTCCTAACCTCAACCTCACTAATTTGGTGTATGGTTAATCTATGGTTTATGCTCTATGCCGATTGCACAAGATTGCCGATTCTTATACTGTATATACCCAACTTAGCAAAAATGTTTGTGTCGAGGGTAAAATATTGGAATAAAATTATTTCTGAATGTTATCATGTGTTATTTCCAGCTATCTATGTCTATAGCCGCTCGCACCACATTCAAACTGAGACCAAGAGAACAGACAATTTTTGAAAGACTTTCTTCTTCTTCAGCCAAGTCCCAACAAGAACCCCCAAGAATAGAGAAAAGTGAGTTACTGTTGCTTATTCAATAATAACAATGGGGCATATTTTCTTGATTTTCTAAGGGAAACGTGAGANAATTTTTCAAGAAAGAGGAAGCGGGCGAAAATCGGCGAGTTCAATAGATGGTGTCGGCTAAAAATTTCCGTTCAAGTGATTTCGTCAAATAAATTTTGAAGTTTGGAGCTCAAAGAAGCGTAAAGTTGTGAGAATGACCTGCAGGGTAAACCGTTTTTTGGATTTTTTTACTTATTTCATTTCTCAACTCTTGGGGTACAAATTACACAATAAAAAAAGTATTGCCACTGATATATCGGTAGATAGATAGATATCCTTTATTAGTTCTTTGTAATAACTAAACCTTTTTCAGGTGTAGATTACAGTAAACATTACAGAAGTAGTAGAAAATCATGAGGCAATATCATTAATATTGGTTAAGAATATGAATGGCCACAGATGTATGAATAACAAGGTTATCACAGTCAATATACTTAATGTAATATTATTATATTAGATACAGAACACGAACATATACATCTATATGTAGGGTTCAAAAGAGACTAAACTACATCACAATGCAGAATGATATGTCATAGAGTGTAACAAATTGAAAGTCAAATTTAGAAATATCAAAGTCAAAGCCTATTATGATAAGAATTAATTTTTTTCAATATCTCAAATTTTTCGAAAAAGAATGATAACTTATGATACATCATTAAAAAGGTAAAATCTGGTTCTATTCAAAACAGAAAAAATCCAATGTAGCGCCCATAAGAAAAAATAAAGTTGATGATGGTGTCCGGAAGACGAAACGTCGGATGGCAAATCTGAAAACACCATTATGTAGCAGGGAAAAGGCGGCAATATGGAAGTGCATATTATTTTTGAATCCTTCAAAAAATGAGGCCAGAAAAATATAAAACCCATTTCCCGAAATTTCTGTTTTTTCCGGATATCTCCGGATATACTCGGAATTTCAGAACTTTCTCAACGGTTTATTGTCAGTCAGATGAATGCGCAACTTTGCCCCAATTTAACCATCTTAGTATCTCTCATAGTTTCCGAGATCCTAATGGTGAGGATCAAATTTGAAACACCCTTATGTGATGATTTTTCTCCCTTTCACATACAACCTCAAGGATATTGTAAGTTCTAGTTACAATATCCGTGAGGTTGTATGTGAATGGTGGAAAAATCATCACATATATGTTCGTGTGTATTACATTTCCTTCCTGTAAAGAAAACTGAAAATGTAAAATTCCTACCTCTCCACTGGCTACTGCTTCTCCAGGAATAAATAATTCTGGATAAATAGTATCCAAATACCATTTAAAACTCTTGCACTGCAATTTATTTCTCAATTCTTTTCTTTTACTAACATCACCGTAGTCATCTTTTTCATTTCCTATTCGTTGATAGTAATATTTTGCATATTCATCCAACCACACTTCTGCTAGACGTACAGAATTTCGTCTTAGAACATTAACACCAGTTCTCCATTTATAAGGTGAACGCTTCCTGAAAATGAAATATAGTATATCAGAAAATTACTGTCAAATTTCCCAGTGCATGATAAAAAAGTTCGATGTTCCTGGCGGGGGTTCACAAAATGATGACCTGAAGCCAACACGGGATTCAGGTGTAATGATAGACTATATACAGTCTGTAAAAGCCAAATGGAATAAATTCATTATTTCGGTTACGGTACATATTTCAACAAAATCCCGAAATACGTCAAATTCAAATTAAAATTGGCATACTGCAACGGAAAAATGCAACCCCTACTTTCAAGACCCGTCGAATGACAGGTGCAACCCCCAATTATTCAAATAGTATAGTATAGGCTTGTGATATAGGAATCTGTTTTTTCGTTAACTAGCTTTCGTACCCCTACGAACGAAAACCGTCAAAAGTCGAAACTTAACACGGGTTGGACAATAGCAGGTGAAAATCGATCGTTCAGACTAGGGATTGAACCACCGACTAACACGGCTGTCAATTCGAGTGAGTGAACAAAGAACCCACGTCGAACTGCCTGGCTGCCGACCGACCTTGAAAGGTTTCTTCATTCTCTATTCAAAAATGTTATCGCTTTCAAGATTATTGCAACAATTGAGATAAAATAAATTAAAATCATGCGGTTACCGAAATTCGATAGAATACACTCAAAACTTATTGCAATATACTCAAAACTTATTTCATGTTGAGGTATTGATATACTCGCCCATAACATAAAATAGAATGTATATAGTATGGTTACGTTATCTATTCATTTCACACCTTCATATTCTTTCAAATGTAATGAATGAAAATATTTTTTTCAGCTATTAATAACGTTCAGCTCTTAGGGAGAGTAGGCGCTGATCCACAAAGAAAGGGTACAGATGATCACCCTATTGCAGTATTTTCTTTAGCAACCCATTCAAATTACAGATACGAATCTGGAGAATTCTTGCAACGAACCGAATGGCACAGAGTTGTATGTTTTAAACCAGGGCTTCGCGAAACAATACTTACTTATTTAAGAAAGGGCCAACGAGTGCAGGTTTTTGGTAGAATAACTTATGGTGAAATAAAAGGTGAAGATGGCAAACCTAGAAGTACTACAGCTATTGCAGTAGATGACGTAATATTTTTTCAAACTCAGCAATGATGTTTTTAGAATAGGTAATGATGATTATGCCCACTTTTTTTATTAAATATTTGAATATCAGAATTTATTTTATTCATTACGAGATGCATACATTTTTGCAGGTTATTCCAGAATTCTTTATTTTGTGATTCCAATTTTTCCCAAAAATACAGGTCTTTTTTTAACAAAATCAGTTCAGATGAAGATAAACTTGTTATAAGATGATTATTTCAATGACGGTTATGGAAGAAAAATTGATGAAATCTGTAAATATACTTCTTAAATTGAAATTCGTATTCGATAGAGAGATATAGTTCCTAAGTGTTCTCTGGCATGTTCATACTAAGTACAGTTACCTGATGGAGTCATGGCCAGTGGGAGAAATCGTATCTGCGTAAAGTTTGGGTTGGTGTATTATGACAAAAAATGTATTAGGAAAAATGGAATAGAAACTTTCGTTTGCAATTTTATGTAGTATGGATGTTTACGGCTCGAATATTCTAACAGACTGATAACAGATTCCTACACATCTACTGGACATCTTGAGCAAGGAGCTTCTCACCGGCCATGACAGTCCGGCAGCTTTCTGTTCTATGAAAATTTTCGTAAAGAGGATGACATTTTCAATGAAAAAGTTACGCCATGAATGCATTGCTTTCGAAAAAATGATGAGTCATTTTTTCTGGGTTTCGCTTTGTGTTTTGGATCCTCGCAAGGATAATTGTTACAACTTTTCGGCAAAGTCTCATGCGTGCCATCTTCTGGTGATGTCTGAGAACTAGACTGATTCTTGTTGGCTTATATGTTATATATTCTGTTCCAGAATTCAATTTAAGTTGTTTTATATCCGTGTTAGAAATCGAATGTTAATAAATAAGACATCGTTAATCCTTTACACGCACAAGTTCCTACTTGTGAGGTTTATCGTTCGTAGGGGGTGACAGCTGGTTAACGCAAAAATAGATTTTAACAGATTATTGTTTGAACAAAATATAATTTTGAGACTAACTGTTATAAAATCCAAAATATATATAGAGTGTTATTTTGGAAAAACTATAAGTGTTGATTTGAATTTTTGGTGTTGGGAATCACACGTTAAAAGGTAAGACCTCGTATAGCTCGCACAAGTTTCTCAACTTCTGAGAGTTGTCGTTCGTATGGAGGCGACAGCTGATTAACGAAAAACAGATTTTAAACAGATTTTTTTAAATATTACTGGAGTTTTTTCCAACACCAAATCGTTATTTTTAACACCTCGACACGTGTTTCGATCACCAAGTGATCATCTTCAATAGATATTGAAACAGATATTGATTAAAGATTAGTATCTTGACAACTGTAAGAATGAATCGAGAAATAATTCAGAAAACTGAATCAATAAATTTTCTGATTGATTCTTACTTGATGAAGATCCATAGAAATTTAATGAACTGCACCTTGTGATTTGATCTTCACAAACTTTTGTTTGTAAAGATCAAATCGTAAAGTGTAGTTAAAAATTGGGACATTGGGAGCTCTGTTTGTTTTCTTTTAAAATATTCTCCCATGGAACCAAAAATAAGAAGAAACATCAAGCATGACTGTTGGTAAAAAATCACACAGATATCAACAAATAAAATGTTATGATAAATATTTGGAATTAAGTTCCGACCGAAATAATTTATATCAATTGAATAGTAAACTATTTGCATTTCTTATTGATAATGCATTTCATTATAAGGAAAAGTATTTGGCAGTATGATGATTTCAATATGAATTTTATTAGGTTTCAGGAATTTCCGGAAGAATATTGACTAGTCTACTAATATGTGAATATTACTGGAGTTTAGTCCCAACACCTCCACATGTGTTTCAAGAGGAAGATTAAACTGTATAATTGGAGAATTTCAGTTTAATCTTCCTCTTGAAGATGGTCACATGGTGATTGAAACACGTGTTGAGGTGTTAAAAATAACGGTTTGTAGTTGTAGTTTAATATTACTCCAGTAATATTAATTTCTACACCAAAGGTTCCAAACAGTGCATCATGAGTAGTCTAATTACTATTTATGTGCTCACCTGTGAGGAACCGTATATTGTTTTAATGATGAATAAATTTACTATGACTACCACCACTATACTCTTTCATTCTTTGGAAAAAGGTTTTTTATTTTGTCCAATTAAGAGTTTTTTTGCAATAACAAGTCAATTTGTATACTCCTGATCTATCCGACACTGTAGTTTTGTTTATATTAAATTTGCTTAAATTATTATTTGTTTTTAAGTCACGTCCACATCTTTCTTAAAAAAAAAAAGGATTATCATGGCTGAGTACAGAGTATACCAATGAACCATGATGATGATTGAAGTTTCCTGAAGTTTGAAAGGCCTAAGTTCATAGCATGGCTTTTTTTCTTATTTGAATGACACATTGTTAAGATATTCACTAGACAGATTACATTTTGTGAATTGTCCAGTAGAAATTTTACAATAAAGTGTTATTTGAATATGCTATGGATTTTCATTAAGTATCAGCCAATTCCATCACATACTTTGTAACGTTGTTAACATATGATACAGAACTCTGATAATTGCTTTCAGGTAGTTGAATATTCAATAGTATGTACTGCTAATTTTTGCTGATGAGGATGTGTTCAGTAATTAATTATCTCTGTAAGAGATAGTATGAGAAAAATTGCAAAGTGTGCCGCTGGTACTAGAGGACATATATTCAATACTTTTTTCAGAAATGACTGGAACTTCTTATTGAGAATATATATTTCATTCTCATACTTTTATCCGTTTCCTTGGCCATCGACGGCATATTCGATAATACTTCCATCATATAAGTAGGCGTCGAAGATAAAAGCTGCAGATGGAGAGAACGGGAAAACAATAGTGACGATGGTAGCAGGGAACTCTCTTCATGGGAGTTCTTGTCTACACTTCTATAAAACATTGTAATTGACAGCTGTCTTCTAGACTTTCATTCTGTTTAAAATCTGTTTTTCCGTTAACCAGCTGTCGCCCCCATACGAACGACAACTCTCATGAGTTGAGAAACTTGTGCGAGCTGAGGACTAACGAGGTCATATCTTTTAACGTGT